CCCCCAGATCTTTTTTCCTTTAGTGAGGTTTGCAGTTCTTTGGCCATCTAAACTATATTGTGTCTGCGGTCTTCTTGCCCTCCCCAATCGTTCATGACTTTGCATTTGGCAGGGTTAAATTCTAGGACCAGTTGCTGGACCAGGCTTTGTAGCCAGCCTGTTCCAGATCTCTTTGTAGTCCTGCTGATCCTCGTCCGATTCGATTCTTCTCATTAACTTCACATCGCTGCAAACAAGGACACTTCTGAGTCTATCCCTTCCGTTACGGTCGTTCACTATACCAAAGAACAGCCAGGGTCCCTAGGACTCCTGACCCTGTGGAACCCCGTTGTCACAGGCGCCCACTCTGCACCCTCGTCGCGTACCATGACTCGTTGTTTTCCTCCCTGTCAGATATTCTCTGATCCATTGCAGTGCCTTGTTCCTTTATGTGTGCCTGGTCCTCTAGCTTTTGCAGTAACCCTTGTGAGGAACTGTGTCGAAAGCCTTCTTGCAGTCCAAAAATAACGCAGTCGATCCACCCCTCTCTCTCTTGTCCTTACTTCTGTCACCTTGTCATAAAACTCTAGTAGGTTTGTGACACAGGAATTTTCCTTCCTAAACGTGCTGGTTGTCAATTATACACTTGTTTCATTCCAGGTGCCCCCACCATTCTCCTCCTGATGAATCCTCCATGACCTTGCATACTATACACGTTAGAGATACAGGTCTTAGTTTAGTGCCTCATGTCTGTCTCCCTTTTTTAAAAATTGGGACTACATTTGCCATTTTCCATACCTCAGGGAGTTGCCCAGTTTCAAATGATGTGTTGAAGATCTTTGTTAATGGCTCACACAATATCTCTGCTCCCTCTTTAAGGACCCATGGAGAGATGTTGTCTGGTCCCACCGCCTTTGAGGTGTCAAGTTCGCATAGCAGCTTCTTCACCTCCTCCTTGGTTATATGTACCTCATCCAGCACTTGCTGGTGTGCCCCCCTGTTCTGATTTCTTGGAGTCCTACTGGTTTCCACTGTAAATACCTCTTTAAATCTTGTGTGTGTGTGTGTGTGTGTGTGTGTGGTGTGGTGTGGGTGTATGGCTCAGATATAAACGAGGGAAGGTTCAGTGTGTTAGTAGGTGTTAGGAGGTACGTGTGGTGCTAGCTGGATTAAGTGTGTGTGTGTGTGTGTGTGTGTGTGTGTACTCACCTATTTGTACCACCTAGTTTGGTTGCAGGGTCGAGTCCTAGCTCCTACCCCGACTCTTCCACTCGATGCTACTAGACCCTCTCTCTCCCCGCTCCATGAGCTTTATCCAACCTCGTCGTTAAACTGTGTATGTTCCTGCCTCCACTACTCAGTTTCAGGCTATTCTCACTGCCTTACAACTCTATGACTGAAGAAATACTTCCTACTATCTCTCTGACTCATATGTGTCTTCAACTTCCAATTGTGGCCTCTTGTTTCTGTGTCCCCTCCCTGGAACATCCTGTCCTTGTCCACCTTGTCTATTCCAGCAGTATTTTATATGTCGTTAATCATGTCTTCCCCTGACCCTCCTGTCCTCCAGTGTCGTCAGGCCGATTTCCCTTAATCTTTCTTCATAGGACATTCCCTTAGCTCTGGAACTAACCTTGTTGCAAACCTTTGTACTTTCTCTAGTTTCTTGACGTGCTTTATCAAGTGCGGGTTCCAAACAGGTGCTGCATACTCCAGTATGGGCCTGACATACACGGTGTACAGTGTCTTGAATGATTCCTTACTAAGGTGTCGGAATGCTGTTCTCAGGTTTGCCAGGCGCCCATATGCTGCAGCAGTTATCTGATTGATGTGTGCTTCCGGAGACATGCTCGGTTGTTATACTCACCCCAAGATCTTTCTCCTTGAGTGAGGTTTGCAGTCTTTGGCCACCTAGCCTATACTCTGTCTGTGGTCTTCTGTGCCCTTCCCATATCTTCATGACTTTGCATTTGCAGGATTAAATTCGAGAAGCCATTTGCTGGACCAGGTGTCCAGTCTGTCCAGTCTCTTTGGAAGTCCTGCCTGGTTCCTCATCGATTTAATTCTCCTCATTAACTTCACATCATCTGCTAACGGGACACTCTGAGTCTAAACCCTTCCCGTCATGTCGTTCACATATACCAAAAATAGCATGGTTCCTAGGACCGACCCCTGTGGGACCCCGGCCTCGTCCAGGTGCCCCTACTGTGATACATCTTAGTACCCATGACTCGTTGTTGCCTCCCTGTCAGGTATTCTCATGATCCATTGCAGTTGCCATTCCTGTTTATGCGCCCCTGATGCTCGAGCTTCTGCACTAATCTCTTGTGAGGACTGTGTTCAAAGGCCTTCTTGCAGTCAAGAAAGATGCGATCAACCCACCCCTCTCTTCTTGATCTTACTTCTGTTATTTTATCATAAAACTCCAGAAGGTTGTGACACAGGATTTGCCTTCCGTGAATCCGTGCTGGTGGATTTATACTCCTGTTCCGTTTCAGGTGCTCACCACTCTCCTTCTGTAATCTTCCCATTGTTTTGCTTATATACATGTCAATGACAACAGGTCTATAGTTTTAGTGCCTCTTTTTCTGTCTCCTTTTTTGAAAATGGGAACTACATTTGCCGTCATTCCATACCTCAGGTAGTTGCCCAGTTTCCCAAGGGAAGTTTTTGTGATGATTGTGGTAAGTGGTGCGCACAACATATCTGCTCCCTCTCTATTGGTCCAAGGAGAGATGTTTGTCCGGTCCCATTGCCTTTGAGGTATCGATGTCCCTTAGCAGTTTCTTCACCCCTCCTCATCTGTATGTATGTCGTCCAACTTGTGGTGATATTCCTTGTTGGTGTCACCATCTTGGTCTGTCCCCCCAGAGTCTTCTGTCTCTACTGTAAAATACTTCCTTAATCTCGATGTTGAGATCCTCACATACCTCTTGACGTTTCTTGTGAGTTCTCCACCCTTTCTTTCCTCAGCTTATCACCTGGTCCTGACTGTTGTCTTCCTCCTAATGTGGCTATACAGCAGTTTCGGGTCAGATTTGACTTTCGATGCTATGTCGTTTTCATACTGTCGCTGGGCCTCCCTCCTTATCTGCGAATACTCGTTTCTGGCTCTTCTACTAATCTCCTTGTTTTCCTGGGTCCTATGCCTCCTGTACCTTTTCCATTCCCTGTTGCACTTAGTTTTTGCCTCCCTACACCTTCGGGTAAACCAAGGACTCGTTTTGGTCTTCCTATTATTTCTGTTTCCCTTGTGTGTGTGTGTGTGTGTGTGTGGTGTGGTGTGGGTGTATGGCTCAGATATAAACGAGGGAAGGTTCAGTGTGTTAGTAGGTGTCAGGAGGTACGTGTGATGCTAGCTGGTCAGTAGGTGTTAGGAGGTACGTGTGATGCTAGCTGGTCAGTAGGTGTCAGGAGGTACGTGTGATGCTAGCTGGATTAAGTGTGTGATCCAGTTTGATAGTGGACAATTTAGGTTCATATCTTTGCCTGCGTGTCCCATGGGATGACTGTAGTACCCTCTGTGTATATAACGCCTTGCTATGCTTGGTCACTTACCATCACACCTCTGTCAGAGGGTTGAGGTATATATTATTGGTTGTAGAGGTTATTGTATGCATGTGTGGCAGCAAGAAATGCTTGGGTGTGGTTTGATGTGATTGTGATACTGTTGGATGTTGACAGGCTTATGTGCTCATGTACAGCTGGGAGACCTGAGCGACAGGGAACTGTATGCTGCCGAGAGACAGTGGTGGTTGCCTAATGAGGGAGGGAAGAGGGGGAGTGTAATAGAATGTTTTGTTATAGGGACAGCATTGAACGTTTGCCCTTATTAGGCTCATCTCTGATTGGAGGTTAATGAGGATAGGATTTATTACACATAGGATTACGGGGTTATTTTCCAAATGTTTCATACTGTGTACCTGGTGTGTGGTGAGAGGAGGCATGTATCACTATTGTTTATGTCACTTTGTTTTTATGTAATAATTTTATATATGTTTGGTTTTGTACTTTTAAAGTGTATATTAATTTAGGTCACAACCCCTGGTACTGTTTTTGGTTAAGTGCTATGTTCTTGATGCAAGTTTTTCATGTATGGTTTACAGTTACACATACAGAGTTTATACATGCAAGTTTTTGTAGCATTTTTTGTCAGTATGTTCAGGTGTGGGTAGTAAGTAGTTTAATTACAAGTATGGTGTATTTCTTAATTAAGCTTCTGTTTAGTGATTTCAGGTCAATCATATATGATTAATGTAATATTGTATACCTGGCTCTAATAAAACATACAAAATTAGGGGATGATATAGCTACGGAATGTTTAGGTACATAAAATTGCTAATATTTACAATGTACAGAGAGGCCAAAGCATTAGTTTATTATTAAAAACTTTTGTATATTACAGTTTTCATACAAGATATGAATAACAAATGTCAGTTTTGGCTAGTGCAATTTTATTATGTATGTTCAGGGGTAGGTTGTCATAACGTTTGTTATAAGGATGTTTTTCTTTAAATGGTTATCATGTATTGTGATTACGTCATGTGTGATGTGGCATGTTTATCTGTATATTTTAAATAAAAAAAATAATAGAATAATTTTTATTTCTTGTTAGTTATGAGGCAAAACTATTACTGACGTAGAGGATATTACTGATATATTGTATATAAAGCCGGTTATGTTGGAGCCATTTCAGGTTGTTTAATATTGTACCAAGATACGTGCCGGGAAGAGTGGGACTAAAACCCAGGTACCTATTACAGCTAGGTTAAGAGGAGGCAGTAGGTATTGGAAACACGCCCAACCTTTATCGTGCCGGGATCAATCCCGTAGCTTTGTTATTAGCTAAGGACAAACCAAGCAAGTTCACAAGCCCTCCTGCTAAGTAAGTTTATTCAGGAATACACAAATACAGTTCCATAGATTATCATACATAGCAACATAAGTGCAGAGAACCTAGTGTGATCCGGTACTTTCGGTGTGAGTAACGGCTCTACTACAGTTGACACCCGACATGGTTTGGAAAATGGGAAGTTGCTATATGTGGGATTCTCGGAAGCAGAGGAAAATAAATTATTAGAGCTGAGAGATGAGGTGGAAGGCGGAGTGTGTTCAGGGCCATTTAACCAGCTGCTCACTCACTGTGGCCCTCAGTCTTCACCTCGTCCTCGAGCCATCAAGTAAGTCAATTTGCTCTCATTCTCAGCTGGTGTATTTCTCCTGTTGCACACTAGAAATACACCAGCTGCTGATGTTTGTTAGTGATAACTGGTAGGATTGTAGTTGATAACTGGTGGGAATGCCTATTCAAACTTTATTTCCAGGGGGAGGGATAATGACTCACGAAAGATCATACAAGTAAAACTGGATCCTTGATCCAACTGAATCTTTCGTGAAAATCAAACTTGTATGAAAAATCTCATTAATGCTCTGAACACAGGACGTGAATTATTTTTTTGTCATGAGAATAACTTCAGAATTGCTGTCGTTGTATTCATAATGATAAACAAGTATTGGTTACCTGGTTTGGTTCCAGGTAAAGAACCAACACAGTCTATTATGAGACGAAAAATAAAGTTCACCATCAGCGGTGACGGAATGAACGGTGGAAGTGGCCCGGAGGTAAGTGTGGACACATTCCCCATCAATTGCCACAAGTGACCACGTCAACATAGTCAGAGGTCCACTCATTTTAGGCATATTGTTAATTGTTTCCAGAGCTTAACAAGTGTTTTCCTAACACCAAATTTCCTCCTAAAAGACTACTGTGAGCAAAATCAACAAGTTGCTTACTAAATGCTTCTGTGGTGGAAACACTGTCAGCTGTTAACAGGTAGTTTTCTCCATAAGTACACCGCTGTTATTCATAGTAACAGTTGTCCAGTTATGCTATATCTCTTAGTCTCCCCGAGACTGATCAATAAACTGATCTTTGATAAATACTCATGAGTAAGAACTTTCATATATATATATATTATTATATATATATATATATTTATTATATTATATTATATTTATATATATAATAAATATATATATATATATATATATATATATATATATATATATATATATATATGTCGTGCCGAATAGGGCAGAACTTGGATCTTGGCTTAAATAAGCAATGTTATCTTGCCATATAGGACAAGTGAAAAATTTGTGTATGCATAATTTCGCAAAAATCATTCTGAAGCCTAACGAAAAAAATTATATTTCACTGTGTTTGTTTAAGTATTAAATTACTGTAACAAATCTAAATATATTTAGTTGGGTTAGGCTAAATAAATTGCACTTGTTATAATAAGGGTTAAGGTAAGTTTTCTAAGTTCCTTTTGGTGCAAAAATATATAATTTTTACATCAACATTAATGAAAAAAATATATTCTTTATCGTATAGAGAAAAATTTTTAGAAAAGGACCTTAATTTTAAATGAGTTCTTGTAATTGACCAGTTTTACATATTCAGCACGACATTTATTATATATATTATATATATATATATATATATATATATTTATATATATTATATTATATATAATAATATATATATATATATATCCATTGATACATTTTGCCATTGTATTCATGTTATGTTTTTTTCTGTAATGTTTTTGTTTATTAATAAATGTTCCATCATAGCAATATAAATTATATAGGGGTGGTAGAAGAAGAAAAATATTCAAATAACTCACGGGGAGACATTGAGTTTTCCCTGAGGATGGGGTCTCCATTCCAGCTAAGAGGTTGGTACTTCCCTACATTATATATTTATATATATATATATATATATATATATATATATATATAATTATATATATATATATATATATATATATATATATATATAATATATATATATAATATAATATATTTTTATAATTTAATATATATATAATATATATATTATATAATTTTATATATATAATATATATATATAATATATATATTTATAATATATATATATAATATATATATATATATTATATATATATATATATATATATAATTATATATATATATATTTTTATATACAAGGGAATCGCAGAGCAGGGAAATATACACAAACACTGATCTCTGGTGAAGGAGACTCGAACCTACGAATCTTGGAGCAAAGGTACACAGTGCTATTACAATCTACCCACACTGGACAATACTTGGCGTGTAGCTTGCGCTTACACGATGATCCAAGTCAGCCAGCTTTCAGGGAGAAGGCTTACAGCTTTTCATCTCATCCCCTGCATGCATCGCCTTACTAGAGATTTTAAAACAATGCAAGGAATTCGCATAGAGAGGCCGAAATATGCACAAACACTGATATGTGGCTGAAGGAGACTCGACTACCCTACGAACCCTTGGAACAAGGTTACATACACAGTGCTATACCAATATATATGTATATATTCGCCTGTCTTGCGCATTCCTTGCAATTGTTAAATTTTAGTAAGTCTGAGAGTCATGAGGGGATTAGATGAAAGTGTAAGGCATTCGCCTGAAAAGGTGGTGCCTTGGATCAACTTGTAGCGCAAGCTACACGCCAAGGGTATTGTCCAGTGTGGGTAGATTGGTTATAGAACTGCGCACCTTGTTCGTAGGTTCGAGTCTCACTTCAGCCAGAGATCAGTGTATAATATATATATATATTTATATATATAAATATATATATATATATATATATATATATTTATATATATATATATATATAGCACAGGCCGTTTCCTACCAAGGCAGGGTGGCTCAAAATAGAAGAATCTTCATCATTCACTCCATCACTGTCTTGCCAGAGAGGTGCTTTACACTACAGTTATAAAAATGCAACATTAACAGCCCTCCTTCAGAGTGTAGACACTGTACTTCCCATCTCCAGGACTCAAGTCCGGCCTGCCGTTTTTCCTGAATCCCTTCATAAATGTTACTTTGCTCACACTCCAACAGCACGTCACGTATTAAAAACCATTTGTCTCCATTCACTCCTATCAAATACCTCATGTATGCTTGCTGGAAGTCCAAGCCCCTCACACACAAAACCTCCTTTGCCCCCTCCCCACAACCTTTCCTAGGCCGACCCCTATGCCGCCTTCCCTCAACTACAGATTTATATACACTCTTGAAGTCATTCTATTTTGTTCCATCCTTTCTACATGTCCGAACCACATCAATAGCATTCGCTTCTCTTACAACTCCATCTATAAATAAATTGAACATCGACGATGACATCAGGCATCCTTGTCTAAGGCCTGCTTTTACTGAGAAATAATCTCCCTCTCTCTCTTACATACTCTCACCTGAGCCGCACTGTCCTCGTAAAAACTCTTCACTGCTTTCAGTAACTTACCTCTTTTACCATACACCTGCAACATCTGCCACATTGGCCCCCTATCCACCCTGTCATACGTCTTTTCCAAGTCCATAAATGCCACAAATACCTCTTTACACTTACCTAAATACTGTTCACCTATGTTTCACTGTAAACACCTGGTCCACACACCCCCTAACTTTGCTAAAACCTCCTTGTTCATCTACTATCCTACTCTCTGTCTTACTCTTAATTCTTTCAATAGTAACTCTACCATACACTTTACCAGGTAAGTCTTGAAATTTTGATTTAAATTTCATCGCTTTTCTTGCCGAATAAGACAAGCGAAAATTTGAGTGTGCAGTAATTTTGCAAAAATCGTTCTGAAACTAACGAAATATATTCCATTGTGTCTGTTTTTTATTAAATAATTGTAAATTTATCTAAAGTATTTAGGTTCTTGCTAATTGACCAGTTATACCTATTTCGCACATCATGCATATATACATACATACACACACACAGACACACAGACACACAGATAGACACACAGACACACAGACACACAGACACACAGACACACAGACACACAGACACACAGACACACACACACACACACACACACACACACCACACACACACACACACACATATATATATATATATATATATAAATAAATATAAATGTATATATATAAATATATATATATATACATATATATATATATGTCGTGCCGAATATGTAAAACTGGTCAATTAGCAATAACTCATTTAAAATTAAGTCCTTTTTTTTAAATTTTCTCTTATACGTTTAAAGATATATTTTTTTCATTAATGTTAATGTAAAAAAATTAATTTTGCACCAAAAGAATCTTAGAAAACTTACCTAACCTTATCATAACAAGCGCAATTTATTTTAGCCTAACCTAACTAAAATATATTTTAGATTTGTTTACAATAATTTAATACTAAACAAACCAGTGAAATATATTTTTTTTCGTTAGGTTCAGAATGATTTTGGCTAAATTATTGCATACACAAATTTTCACTTGTCCTATATGGCAAGATGAGCGTTGCTATTTAAGCCAAGATCGCAAGTTCTGCCTATTCGGCACGACATTATAAATATATATATATATATATATATATATATATTTATATATATATATATATATATATATATATATATATATATATAATACATATATATATATATATATATATATATATATAAATATATTATATTATTAACATATTTAATATATATATATATATATATAATATATAATATATATATAATATATATAATATATAATATATATATATATAATATAATGTGTGTGTGTGTACTCACTGGTTGTACTCCTAATTGTGGTTGAAGGGTTCGATTCATAGCTCATGGCCCCGCCTCTTCACTAGTCGCTACTGGGTCACTCTCCTGAAACAGTGAGCTTTATCATACTCTGCTTAAAGCTATGTATGTATCCTGCCTCCACTAAATCACTTCCCAAACAATTCCACTTCCTGACTACTCTGTGACTGAAGAAATACTTCCTAGCATCCCTGTGATTCATCTGTGTCTTCAACTTCCAACTGTGTCCCCTTGTTGCTGTGTCCCATCTCTAGAAGACCCTGTCATTGTCCACCTTGTCAATTCCTCTCAGTATTTTATATGTCGTTATCATGTCCCCATTATCTCTCAAGTCCTCCAGTGTCGTCAAGACGATTTCCCTTAACCTGTTCACGTAGGATATACCCCTTAGCTCTGGGACTAGTATTGTTGCAAGCCTCTGCACTTTCTCTAGTTTCCTTACGTGCATGGCTAGGTGTGTTGCCGCATACTTCAATATTGGCCTCCCGTACAAGGTGTACAGGGTCCTAAACGAT